TGTATGTATGTATGTATGTATGTATATATATACATACATATATATACATATATACATATATATATATACATATATATATATATACATATATACATATATATACATATATACATATATATACATATATACATATATATATGTATATATATATATATATACATACATATACACACACACACACACACACCTCTCTCTCAGCGTGGGCTGTGTTTCCTTCCATCCATCTCCTTCTTCTCTGGATTTCATCTGAACATCGTCTTCTTCGTTGGTGTTTTCATCCGGCGGTTCAGGTTCATCTGGTTGAATGAAACTCTTCTTCACCTCCTCCTCGCTACTGTGAGGGAGGCTGGTGGAGAACAGTTCAGCAGCCATCTTCCTCTCCTCCTCTTCTTCTTCTTTTTCTTTTCCTTCTTCTCTTCTTCCTCCTCCTCCTCCTCCTCCTCCTCTGAAGTCTCGACTTCACAGCATTGACTGTTTCCTGTCAGAGAGATTGATGTGATTATAATCTATAACTATTCTGTCTTAATTAATCACTTAACTATTGATCATCAGTGACGTGGCTCTAGACAGCTGTCACTACGTCACGTGACATAACGTCATCATGTTTGTGTAAATGTACTCTGAATATTAATATAATACTAATATTGATCATCTTTAGAATAAGAGGTGTTTGTTTTATGTTGTGGGACACCCAGAGAGAGGCGGGGTTTACATGGTTACAGCACTACGTTTGTACATAGAAATATACTCACCTGTCGGGCTTCTGAACGTAACGTTACCACTGACACGTCATCAATAATTGATAATCACCCGGTCATTACCGTTAAACCGTGTCTCTAACGATCTGCTCCGTTAACGTTAAACTCACTCCGGTACCGGCTGTTTGTTTCTCTGAACGCCATCTTCGATCCTGCTGCTACGTCAGAGGACCTGAAATAAAACTTTATTGATGAGACTGTGGTTAACAGTGAGAATGAACGCATCGACTCTAATGGCTCAGACCATTAAAGAAGTCGGACTGGACCAAGTGGAAAGAGACACGGGACTACTTCCGGTTTTCAAAATAACGTGTAAAAGTAGCCCGAATGCGTCTTACACCTGATTCTATTCTATTGACAAGATGTTTGAAATGATGTAACATCTGCTCCTTAATTTATTGAACTATTAAATGAATTACTTAGTTCATTGTTTACTTATTTATGTAATTCATTCATTCATTATTCATTTAATTATTTATTTATTTAGTTAAAGGGAACGTACCATTTTATTATGAGGGAAAGATCTTTATTCTTAAAGGTTGTTGGGAAAAAATATAATAAATCATTCTGGACAATGACTGATTCTCCTCCCCTCCCT